AATGTACGTAGTCCATTGCTAATGCTGCAAAACACCATCTAGTACAGATAGTCCCAAAGTGCAGAAGAAGCTATGCTTCGCAGTCTTGACAGCTTGATTGACGGGTTGTGACGACACCATCTCTTGTTGAGCGCAAAGAGGTATCCCAGTGCGCGTGTTATTAGAGTTATCTAGGTAGTCAGTTGGCTGCATACGAATAGCTCGTGCTGTGAATTCGATGCAACCTTCATATGCATGAACCAACCTCCTCGTCACTCTCCCGAATCGGGGTAGAACACGAGAGGTGCCAAGTATACGACCTGGTCTTCTACAATACAACACCGAGTTCCCGCTCACGTTGAATCTCCCGAGACATGATTGCGGATCCATGTAGACCTGACTTGTCACGTCATACGGACCCTCAGCTTGCGTTTGCACGAGAATACGAAGTCGTAATCCGAGTACAACCCGTCTTTCCAGCTCATGCTAGTCTCATGATTGACTGGCCGGATTGTCGTATAGCTAGTAAGTGGCTGCGTCAGAAGCGGCTTGAGTAACCTGCGAATGTCTCAAGCCAATGCGAGTTTAGACTTATAGGTGGAGAATCTAAAGTTGCCATGAGTTGTGTATGTGAGGTATATCGAAGACATGCTTTCAGTTATTAGAAGGACACGAGTCATGGTCTACTCATACAAACCATTTAGAGATTACGCGTGCAGATGTCAATAATACCGTAGATGTGGCCTGCAGTAAGCATGTAGTTAATACAGTGTTGATATATCGTAAATTGTATATCGGACACTGTAAAACGCCACAAACGCCACAAACGCCGCAGACCCTCGCCACTCAACGCGTGTCGAAAAGGAGAGCCTCACGTAACTCGCTGCGGCTGATGCCGATGAGTCGACTTTCTTTCGTCCTATCAAAAGTTTCAGCCGCAGCCTTCTAGACGCAGCAGATACTTGTAGATATCTAGGAACGATAAATCACCAAAACAAACCCCTTTCAAGATCGGTCGCCTGATCTGACAAGGAGCCAATACATCAATCAAAGCATCAATCCCTCATATGCTTCCAAGAACCGAAGCGCTCACCAGCGCAGGCCATCTATGGCGACCATCAAGCCTATTGAGGCCAGAACAGTAAGTGATTTATCGTAGCAGTCCAGAAGCCATGAGAATTATCGCTGACTTCGGGCTAAGATTCACCAAATTCAATCCGGTCAGGTGATCGTCGATCTGTGTTCCGTTGTGAAGGAGCTGGTGGAAAACAGCATAGATGCAGGCGCAACCAATATTGGTGAGTATGGATAGCTCTGCAAGTTTTGGCTACCAAAACTTACGAATACTTCTCTAGAGGTTCGTTTCAAGAACCAAGGACTGGACGCCATCGAGGTTCAGGACAATGGCTCGGGCATATCCAAGGAAAACTACGACACTTTGGCACTGAAGCATTACACCTCCAAGTTATCCACCTACTCAGATCTAGAGTCCCTCGAGACCTTCGGCTTCCGTGGAGAGGCGCTATCATCTCTCTGCGCACTGTCCAAATTCACAGTCACCACTTGCTTGGCATCAGATGCCCCGAAAGGGTCAAGATTAGAATTTGAAACATCCGGAAAGCTACGCAGTACGAGTGTTGTCGCTGCGCAGAAAGGTACAACTGTGTCGGTAGAAGGTCTTTTTCACAATCTACCTGTGCGCCGCCGCGAACTCGAGCGCAATATCAAACGGGAATGGAATAGGGTTCTTAGTGTCCTCAATCAATACGCATGCATCCAGACCGGACTCAAATTCTCTGTATCACAACAGCCGAATAAAGGTAAGCGCATGGTCTTGTTTTCGACCAAAGGAAACCAGACTACACGCGAAAACATTGTGAATGTCTTTGGAGCGAAAACTTTAGCTGTTTTGATCCCATTGGATCTAGAACTCGAGTTGGAACCTACGAATACCTCCAACCAACGACTCAAGACACAAGGCGACAGCGAAGCTAAAGTTATCCGTGTCCGAGGTCATGTGTCTCGGCCCGCATACGGTGAAGGACGGCAGACTCCCGATAGGCAAATGTTTTTCGTTAACGGCCGTCCATGCGGGCTACCTCAATTCGCCAAGGTTTTCAACGAAGTGTACAAATCGTATAATTCTTCTCAGTCGCCTTTCATCTTTGCTGATATCCAGCTTGATACACACCTCTATGATGTCAACGTAAGTCCGGATAAACGAACCATCCTACTTCATGACCAAACTCGGATGCTCGATAACCTTAGGGAGTCACTCAGCGCCTTGTTTGAGTCGCAGGACTATGCACTACCGACTTCACAACTTCAAGCACCGAAGCAGTCCCTTCTCAGAAACCCTTCTCTGAATAGACACGATTCACCTTCTTCAGAAGCGAGTTCGAAACGCTTGGCCTCACCTGATGTTGCTTCGCACAGGAAATTACCCTCCGCAGATACCCAATCAAGAGCGGAAGGCGAAAACGTGGACGATACCAACAATGACGAAGTTGAAGGTCACTCTACACGTAATTATTCAGTGTCTTCGAACGCGCTTGCGCAAGCTGCTCATGGCAGCAGTTTGATCAGCTGTTGGATCGAGCGCAAGTGTGATTCCCGTGAAGGTGCCGAGGCAAAAGGCAATAGGGTGGTAGAAAGTGTCAACGAAGGCAATAATGATCCAGCAAAAGACTCGCAAAGTTCACTCTCACCCCACGATAAACAGGACCATTCTCTCCCAAATGCAGACTCAACTGAGGTATCCAATAGTGTAACAAACTTTCGGGCGCGCCTCAAAGAATTGAGGGATAAGAAGGGCGACGAAACCACGGACGAGTCTATATTATCCAAGAGCGCTTCTTCAGAGCCGCCAATCCCCGCTCTCGCTGCTCCAACCCGTATAACGGATATCAAGTCTAACAAAGCTTATCCTTCCTCGTTGGCTAAGCGAGCCGCGCCAGAAGTTGCTACCATCACAATAGGCGACCATACTGTTACGAGCATTATTGGTTCGCCGTCCAAAAAGCTGCGACTTGACGACCAAAAAGTCCTGCATTCATCTACGCAAAAAGGTGCTAAAGCACCGGTACCTGTGCCTTCATTCAATGGGCGGCTAACCCAAATGTTCGCCGCACATACGGAGCGGTCACAGGCTGACAAGAGGCAAATCAAGGTTGCTGCAGAGATGCGGGATGGTTCGCAACATTCTGATTCATCAAGTGAAAATCTTTTCGTGGACGAGGAAGCTGAAGAAGAAAGCGGTCATGAGTGTGCGACCGATGTGCCAAGCAGAGGCGAGGATGGAGCGCACGCTTCTCCCCAACACTCGCAGGCATCTGAGCCAGACCCCGAAGAAGGTTCGGAGGCTGAGCTAACGTCTCCAGCCAATTATAGCGATGTTGATTACAGAAATGATGCAAATCAAGCGGCGAAGGAAGAAAGCGATGTTAACGAAAGCATCGAAAATGCGCAGGTTCATGAAAACCCAATTTCAGAGGATTCACAGAAACGTACTCAGATTTTTGTCAAGGGTAGTACTAAGAAGAAGGACGCGACTTATCATCTTCAACAAATACTGCGTGTGGACGAAAAGCTCATTGGCGATGCTTTGGCATTGCAACGGGGGCATATCTCTCAAGCTCTTTCCAGCCCAACGGCCATGCTTGAAACGAACCAACTTGATGCAGAAGACGCTGAAGAGAAGTTATCCCTGACAATATCGAAGTCAGACTTTGAGAAGATGAAGATCATAGGGCAGTTCAATCTAGGATTCATCTTAGCCTCCCGTGCAGCCGAACGGAGCTCTATGGAAACGCTAGACCGGAGTGACAGAGACAGGGATGATGAACTATTTATAATTGATCAGCACGCAACAGATGAGAAGTATAATTTCGAACGGCTGCAGGCCAGTACCGTCGTGCAGTCTCAGAGATTGGTACACTCCAAAACTCTCGAGCTCACAGCCGTTGAAGAAGACATAGTACAAGAGAACATTGATGCTCTAGAAAGAAACGGATTTATGGTCAGCTTCGACGAGAGTGGTGATCAGCCCGTCGGAACCCGGTGTCAGTTGCTTAGTTTGCCTCTGAGTCGGGAAACTACTTTCTCCCTCGAGGATCTGGAAGAGCTCATCTCACTTCTCAGAGACCACCCATCCGCTTCAGCCAACACAGTGCCTCGGCCATCCAAGGTTCGCAAGATGTTCGCAATGCGCGCTTGCCGAAGCAGCGTTATGATTGGAAAGTCCCTTACGACTAAGCAGATGGAAAAGCTTGTCAGACATATGGGTGAACTCGATAAACCATGGAACTGCCCACATGGGCGGCCGACCATGAGGCATCTATGCGGGCTAGGTGCATGGGACGACCTAGGCTGGAAGGAGGGCGATGACTTCGATGGAAGCCGGGCACCGCCTGTAGATTGGGCTGCTTATCTTCACGGGGAGCGCGATCTGAAATAGGAATAATGTCGTTCATTTATAGTCTGTTTGTATTGCTTAGAGTTACGCTTGGGCGAGGAGCACATTTGTTATATGGATATATACCCCTAGGTGCTGCAGCACTTAGTTAAAGACTGGCTAGGAAATATAGTACCTACTTTTGGGACAGCGAAAGCTGAAGATTGTCGTAAAGGGAGTTCCAGGATCAGGTGTGATTATATGAAAGAATTATTTACAGAGGGACGTAGTGATTGAGCAGCTATAATCATGGCCATAATCAAGTGTAATCTAAAAATATGTTACATACATGGATGGTGAGCTAAGAAAATCTGCCATCCTTTGATGTTGATATGAATCAACTTCCCTGGTTTAAACTTAATTATGGCTTACGAAGCTTACACGAAAAAGCTCATATCGCCTCAGCAAACTGGTTTTTAATAGAAAAGGCACTAGGACTAATTAAAAGCAATAGAACGTTGAGGACACTGGTTAGTATTATTTTCCATTTGCTGGAAGGAATTCATTCTAAACGTTCTTGGCTCGTCTTTGTTCGGCGTTGAACAACTGGTTCTCCCGAATCGAATCTGGGCGAATGGTCTAGGGGTATGATACTCCCTTCGCATATCTGAACTCTTCAGAATAAGCTTGGGAGGGGTCCGGGGTTCAATTCCCCGTTCGTCCAAATATTTTGCACTTTTTTAATCGATTGTCCCCAGCATTGAGTTGGATTGCCAGTGCTTCAGCATGCGAGATATACCGTAGACTTTCTTGCAAGCCCTAACAGGGGTGTCCGTACTGGAGCGGTAGCTGGCCGGTACAATGGTTGAACAATGTAATCGGTCATGCGAGTCAGCCTTTGTAACTCTCCTAATGAATAAATAATATAAATTATGCAGGCTCAGTTCACATATCTAAGCATTGATACATATACCAACCTGAAACTGTGCTTGTCCGTCATCTTCGATCAGTAGGAGCTTACACCGTAAAGTGGGCCAAAACGACGATATTAGTCCAGCAAGTACGCAAGTAACGTTATCCTACTAAGCTTGCAAGCCGCCGAAGAAGCGAATACCAGGTTATAGGATCTTCTCGATTACCTTGACTCTCTAAATTTTGATTAGATAATATTGACCTGCTTACCATCGTGCGTTGTATGAGAGAACATGCCAACTCTTAACCCGGTCGTGATTAATGGCTAACCCGGAGCGGCCGTAGTTATCGGGAACGGTGTTAAGAAAGTGGTCAGCCCGCTAATCCAACTCCGGACTATATCCAATGGGTGAACTCCCATACAAGGACATATTATGCCCGACATGGTATGCGTCCGATGACTAATGGTCTCCTCAACTTCAAGACAATCAAGGCCAGAGCCCGTGTATACCTTGGATAACTCCGGCGACCGGACTGGCCAGCTATAAAGGTAGGAGTTGGCACCGCCAGTTGGTGACATGACTTGTAGACCGTGGCCAAATATCAACTACGACGCTCAAGTGGTTACAGCTTTACTTCTATCTCCATCACCACCTTATCTTACATATATTTATCATTTTCTAATCCACCATCATGTCATCCAACGCTTCCCTCAAGCCTATTACTCTCTGGGGACACAACATTGGGCCCAATCCTCTCAAAGTACGAATGATTCTGGAAGAGCTGGGTCTTCACTACGATTACAAACTCCTCGAGTTCGACGAAATGAAGGGGGACGCGTACGTGAAGATCAATCCCAATGGCCGTGTCCCAGCTATCGAGGATCCAAACACCGGCCTTACGCTCTGGGAATCCGGCCCCATCGTTGAGTATCTTGTCGAGCAGTACGACAAAGACCACAAGATCTCTTACGACACCTTCACTGAGAAGTACCAGATCAAGCAGTGGATTGGGTTCCAAATTTCCGGTCAGGATCTCTATTCCATTTATGATGTTCTTAATTATTTCCCTTCTTCCAGACTTTGTCATCAACACTCCCTAACTGACCCCGTGGCTGACATATCCATTAGGCCAAGGTCCGTATTATGGACAGGGAGTCTGGTTCTCGCTCATCCACCCCGAGAAGCTGCCCTCGGCTATCGAACGCTACTGGAAGGAGGTTGAGCGCGTACGTTCGGTGCTAGATCTGCACCTCTCTCGCCAAGCCGAAGAGAAGCAAGGCGCAAAAGTGGCGGACAAGGACGTCTGGCTCGTCGGCGACAAGTGCACTGTAGCGGACCTGAGCTGGTTCATATGGGAGCAGATCGCTGACTTTGTTATGACTATGGTCGGTTCTCCGATCCAGAAGGTTAGTACCCCAAATCTTAACCTCATGCACCGCGATGAGAAGTTATTGAGCGTGCTAACTTCCGAGACAGGGCAAATATCCTCACTATGAGGCCTGGTACAAGAAGATCGAGGAGCGGCCCAGTGCACAACAGGCCGTCCATAGCAGGAATGAGGGTCTGAAGACTTTTCAACTTCCTAGACCGATAGAGAAGTAATGGATCACACACACTGTGGTCGCAATGTCAATTTTGGAGCAAGGACACGATCTGAATATTGATTGCTTGATATAAAAAGAGTGTTGGCAAGAGAAAGGATAGCTATCTCTTGAAAACGGCCTGAATCAAGTGGAACTCGGGAGTGCATTAGTAAAGCCAGAACACTAGCTATCCTAGAATATCATTTGAGCCACTTGAGAGCTCGACAATAAGTTCTGAGAGGATATTCACAGCGAATTTCTCGTCTAAGTAAAGTGTGAGATGTCTTGAATACTACCACATGAAAGTGCTGTTCTGATAAGTATGGTTGAGCTTTGCCTTAACTATTGGCTATTCCAGAATTTCACCTACGAGAGAAAATGCCAACGGACTTTTAATACACTTTTCGAGTACTAGAGATATTAGGTATTGTCGTGCATACCAGATCCGGCTTCCATCCACGGCGGTGTTGAGTTTCGGGACGGACCTTCCAATCCAGATGGGCAGGCTATTAGGAAAATATATCCTAGCTACCTCTTCGTTTCCTCTTGCTAGGAATTCTCATGGCTTTACATGGCTGATAATATTTCGAACTAGCGTGGGAACAAAATAACTAGAGCGCCCTAAAAAACAATCATCAATGAAAGGATCACATTTACGTTAATCATCATTACCTAGGGTAGTTGATGCATACATACTTGACTTATAATGCTAGTGAAGCACTTACCTAATTAAGTACTCCTATACCTATCTCTCTTTCCCGGACGACAGGTACGTCTTAACTTAAAGTTCGTATGACACACATAGCAACCTCCGGACGGACGAAGAGCGCTTCTCGTCCCAACAACCTATTACAACAGACGAGCCAACAGCCTCCGCATTAGTAAAATAGGACATCTTTGTCCCTTTATCTTTTTGATTTACTTTCGATCGTCAATTTCGAGATAGTTGCGCCTCGAGTCACATATTTACACCCTCAACTCAACTATTCCAGCGATCCTCTTCTGTCGTAATCACTCGTTTTCAACTCCACGCGTTGCCGAACCCATCTAGTGCTGTCAGAAATCTCTATATAACACCCGAACGGCGGCCAAATAGTGAAGATGTGGAAACACATATAGTATTGCGTGAGTAGTCAGGCAGCTTCTATATTCGATCGAGAATTAATGAACCAGTGTCAACATCCGAAACATGGCCATGGCCCTTACAGTTGGGAGATTACCCACCCAGTGCCCCGAATTCGAATGCCAGCATCTTAGGTGCTCCGGTTGCTGCGAGTACTGGATTCTCCAAATATAAACACTATACTACACGGACATACCTCCCTCGCATCTCAGGCTGTTAAAATGGACGCCTCACCACTATTGAGATGCCGTACTTCAGAAGGCCATCCAGGCGTATGTCTCTTAACTTGATAGGTCTTGGAAGGAAGCGTCTTCGTGGCAAGCGGCTACTATCTTCCCATTCCCTCTCATTGTTCTTCAAGGCTGTGGGCGGTTGGACTTTTCTACTTTTGGGCTGGCTGCTACTTGGTTTTCAACTACATGGTTTTTCTCAGGCGTTCACTCATTTTGAATTACTAAGATAGTTATCCGTCTAGTCCGACCAGCCAATTATCAATTTCATTCTATAACATCACCAAGACTCGATCCTCTGGCATTGGTGTGCAACTAGTATATTATGGTCATTTATCTCATCTCACGGCGCAACTCATCCAATTCAAGACTTTCTTCGTCCACTGATACAAAGGCACCCACCCTGTACGGTAGTTCTTCGGCCCTGCCCCAAGGCAAGACAATCGTAGCTGGCCTGTCGTGGCTCGTAAAGTCTATGAGAGGATAAAACGTGACTAAGGCTTTGACGACGTGCTTCAAGTCTGGCAGTTACGCTAGTGCCAGATTCATGACACCGCCCGCCGAAAAGCCTGCCAGAACCACCCTGTCGAGATCGACAGGCAGCGAGTCGTCGGCCAATACGGTTTGAATGAGGGCAAGGCAGTCGTAGATGGGGGTCGGGAAGCGGTTGCTAGGCCCGAGTCCGTACTCGAGGCTGGCGACGCAGAAGCCGTACTTATCGGTGAGGAGATGTGTTTGCTCATTGTCCACACGGGTGTCCCTGATAGCCTACCTGCTACCATGTATGAGGAAGAAGACGAGAAACTTTGCGTTTGCATTCGTCGATTTGTGGATAAAGATGCGCACTTCTAGATTGGGACGAACTGGATAGTGCTTGATAGTTGTGAACGAGCGTTCCTGTCAGAAATCTGGAGGTTTCGAGTAAAGATACCGCGTTCCTCGGTATCTGTAGCGGTTAAAGAGAGATAAGCGGATGTAAAATACGATAGTTGTCAAGAAACCGGTCGCTTGTTGTATAGTGACTGACTATTGTAAAGATTTACTTTAAGACATGATCTAAAACAACTTGAGTTTATTATTCTATCTATGTATACAGTAGTGACGTGACAGAATTACAATTTTATGGATTCATTATATATATATTTATAGCTATTTCACTGTGACCAAGTGTTCATTTACCTAGATCTTCAAGCTACTTTAATAGTCTGCTTTCTACCTCGGCTGAGTCTCAATGGTATATGAATTTTGATAGTGATGTTACATATCCAATTTACTTCTTCGATCCATTCCTACATCCATTAAATAGTTAGTGTTCATAAATTTGGCCACCCTCAGGGGTATAAATCGGTTACGGGACAACTATCCGGCCTGGGAGAAGCAGATTATGGATTTACTCTCGGATCCGGGATCCGGATTTATTAAGCCCGCCTGCGTCTGAATATATATCTTAGCATATATTCAGGTGGTACGAATTCAAGAGGAACGACGTGTAATATAGAGTACCAGTGAAGGCAAAATAATATTGAAATATTATGGCTGCACCTCGCATGTTAGCTATGTTGTCTATAAGCCGGGTTTTGACTAGGCTTTATAAAACCTCCTATGCATAAAGGATTATTATAATGAGACACTTGAGCACTACTATAGGCACGCTATTACTGTCTACCTAAGTCTTATTCTAAAAGAACAGGAAAGCGACAAAAAGATTACAGACGTATCTTGGACGAACGGGGAATTGAACCCCGGACCCTTCGCAAACACTTCTCTGAATGATTCAGATGTGCAAAGCGAATATCATACCCCTAGACCATTCGCCCAATGTTTATTCTTGTGGATTAGCTGACTGACTCCAAATGATGAATTCTTATTGCCGT